ACTCGAAACGACTTCAAACCAAAACTAACAGATCAAGGACAACTTCAAGTACCTACAACTCCAGGATTTCCACGAAACGAACCACATAAGTTAGTTGGGCAAGCTTAACTAAATAGAGGAGTTCGTTGGGAAACACACAGGAAAAAGCGGAATCAAATTCCGAGTTGAAACGAACCCAAACGGACCCGAGAAGCAAAGTTCAGCAGGCTGCCAGAGCCTTAGCACCGCTAAGGCAGTCAGGATAGCGGTGTTTTCATTCTAAGCGGCTTCAGACTCGAACGGCTAACATGCCTTAGCGGCGCTAAGGCACCTTAGCGCCGCTAAGTTCTATTTTACAACAGACGCGATTTTTGTGGGTTTTGAATTGGAGATACTTTTAATGTCGAACCTAGGGCATATGTTATTCATTCTGAACACTTGTATTTCGTTTTTTCACTTTGGAAACTCATCTTTCTCTTAATTTTTATTGGGATTCGATCTTGGATAGTGAAAACTCCAAGATTCGACTTGTGGATTTGGATTACTCGTTGTTTTTCGACATTGGATTCGTATTCAATTGTAAGCTTTCTTTTCCATTTCATCTATGATGATGATGGCTTTGATCGATGTGTATTTTATTGTTGAATCTATGATGAGTAGCTAAATCTGTATGCTAGGGATAGGGGATTAATGTTTTGATTTCGATTGCGATTGTGGGCGTTCGTTGATTGTTCTTTTCATGCGAGTTGATCTTTTTTAAGGGTTTTTCAACTGTCAGGCTTGAGTATTGATAATTGTTGAAGGGTGACACTTCAACTCACAATTGTTTCAATTGAATTTGATTTATTCGTGCTTGAAATTGGTGAATCTATTTGATAAGTCGGTTAGCCACCCTCTAGTTTACTTTAATCAACTCTTAGAACCGAAAGGGGAGGAGTCGGTCGAAATAGGCTCGTATGAACTAGGCTTGTTCGTAATTGTATTGCCTAGGAGTTAAATGAATTGTTAATTTGTCGTTCTAGTTTGTCCTCTTGTTACGAAAAGTTATTGAGAATGAGTACTTGAACGTGTCGATTATTCAAATCACTTAACTGAACAATCACTTGCCCATTAATTGTAATTCGAACCAAATTGGATCTCCCCGACTCCCTAGCTTCTCAAATCCTATTTGTTCTTCGTTGTTGCTTGCTATTTCTATTGCGTTATTTAAGTTCTCTTGGTAGTTGAAAATTAAATCCAAAACAAACCATCTGAATTAGAATGTGTGGAACTTTATTTCCTTTATTTGTGCTTGAATAAACGTGCAGAGTATTCCGGGTAACCTTCCTCGTGAGACACGACCCGGTGTCCGAATCTTTCGATTCTACTCCGAAAAAATATTTACAACACTATACTTGTTTTTATATATATAAAAAAAAAAAGGATAGATCATGTAAAATCTTTATACATTCGTTATTTTATATGAAAAATGAGTAAAATTATACCTAAAACGAGTGTAACATCTTTATAATGGATTATACAACGAGTTTTAGGTGTTTTTGATCGAAAAATCACTATAATGAATAAAGAATGTACACTCGTTATGTAATCCATTATAAGGATATTACACTCGTTGTAGGTACAATTTTAATCATTTTTCATGTAAAATAAGGAATGTACAAAGATTTTACATGATTTATCCAATTTTCAAAAATAAAAAAACAAACTAGTTTTTCACAAAAAGAATTTCGTTATGAGTATTTCCACGCTCTAACGGGTTCAAACTATCGTTCAAAGGTGATCTATGACCAAGATACAATGTTTAACACGTTATTCCATAAAAAAAATCAAAACGACTGCATAACGACTGTACATTCGTTATGTATCCATCATCTAGAAAAATGAAAAAAAAAAAATACTTCAATGGCACAAGCAACAACATAAATATGAAGAGAAACACGAATGCACACGTACGCCTATGTACATAAAAGAGCGCAAAATTTCTCCACAAACACCCCCAATTTTCTCGGGGAAAATAAAAAAAATACAATGAGGTGGATCAAAACAGAGTCCGACTATTAATTGAAGAATCCCACTGTGTCCCCGCAATCTTTGTTGTTTTTAAACGAAAATTATGGAAAATTTAGCTCGAATAATTATGGAAAGTACACCTAATATCTATTGAAAATTCTACTTTTCGGGGTCAAAATATATAAATTAGGGCAAGAGAACAAATGTCGAGCGGGAGCGAGACCGAGAGAGACAGAGCAGAAGAAGAGATCAATTTTTTTTTTTTTATAAACACAAAATAGGAGAAGGTTATTTTAGGTATTTCAATTATATATTTACTTTTATTTAATGAATAGGTTATTTGGACAAAAAAAAATTTCAAAGGGTCATTTAAATAAATATAGNAATCCATTATAAAGATATTACACTCGTGGTAGGTACAATTTTACTCATTTTTCATGTAAAATAAGGAATGTACAAAGATTTTACATGATCTATCCATTTTTTTTTTTAAAAAAAAAACCAGGTATAGTTATTTCACAAAAAGAGTTTCGTTATGAGTATTTCGACGCTCTAACAGGTCCAAACTATAGTTCAAAGGTGATATATGACCAAGAAACAATGTTTAGCACGTCATTCCATCAAAAAAATCAAAACGAGAGAACTTTCATTAGGAATTTCACTAACGAATGTACATTCGTTATGGTTCTTTTTCGATCAAAAACACCTAAAACTCGTTATATAATCCATTATAAAGATATTACACTCTGTTGTAGGTACAATTTTACTCATTTTTTATGTAAAATGAGGAATGTACAAAGATTTTACATGATCTATCCATTTTTTTTTAAAAAAAACAAGTATAGTTATTTCACAAAAAGAGTTTCATTATTAGTATTTCGACGCCCTAACGGGTCCAAACTATCGTTCAAAGGTGATATGTGACCAAGATACAATGTCTAACACGTCATTCCATAAAAAAAAACCAAAACGAGAGCACTTTCATTAGAAATTTCACCATAACGAATGTACATTCGTTATTGTTCTTTTTCGATCAAAAACACCTAAAACTCGTTATATAATCTATTATAAAGATGTTACACTCGTTGTAGGTACAATTTTACTCATTTTTCATGTAAAATAAGGAATGCACAAAGATTTTACATGATCTATCTATTTTTTAAAAAAAAAAAAATTTAAAAAAAACAAGTATAGTTATTTCAAAAAAGAGATTCGTTATGAGTATTTCCACGCTCTAACGGGTCCTAACTATCATTCAAAGGTGATATATGACTAAGATACAATAATTAACACGTCATTCCATAAAAAACCAAAACGAGAGCACTTTCATTAGGAATTTCACCATAACGAATGTACATTTGTTATGAAACTGCATAACGACTGTACATTCGTTATGTAAACATCATCTAATAAAATAAAAAATAAAAACATGAATCGCACAAGAAATTTGATAAATATGAAACCAACATGCTTATCAATCATAAAATATGAACAAAAATTCTTATCAAAGTAAAATAATAAAAAATCCTACCCACATATATTTCTTTCATCTTTCTCTAAAATAAAGGAGATAATACTTTGTTTTGTTGTTCTTCCACCATGAACNTTTTTTTGATATTTTATAAAAGAAGTTAATAAGGATAGTATAGATATTTCAATTATTTATATACCTTTATTTAATAAAGGGATAATTTTATATTTACACAGTGATTATATAATTATTGCATACATACGAGGGGTATAAATTAATTTGCAAACTTACCTCTTTCATGGATTTTAATTGTGATTATGCAACATATCTGTTACTGTGAATAAAGTCCACCAAATCTCCTTAATTTCAGGGAATAAAACGATTACCGTTTTCATTGGGAAGAAATGGAAAAATTTTATGGAAAGTGTAAATATATCCTATTATGTAGGAAGTTGTTCTCATCAAAGACGATATACATATTTTGAATTCAAAAAACGTCTTATCTTCAAAATATATGCAAAAAACATCGATTTTGTTCTGTCCAAAAAACGTATATTTTCCTTTCCCTCTCCTCGATCAAGAACATAAAACGACCTTGATGATATAAGTCCTGAAAATTCCAACCAACAACTGGTAAAAGTTTCTTCCCTAGTTGGTTTTGATGTCTGTATATTTATAGTATATTTTTATCAAATTTGTATATTGATATCCTTTTTTTTTCTTTTTTTGTTTTGTGTTTGAAAGCTAGATGGATGCACAAATGATGATCGTCCTACATCACAGTGGTGAATGGGTTATGAATGAGTACGTTAATTTACAACTATCGGGCCTTGTAGTTCGTAAAACTTGCAGATTTACCGAGCTATGTGATGTATTAAGGGAGAAATTTAAAATTACGTCTCAATCGGCCGGTATTGAACTGAAGTATAAACTGAAGGACGGATATCCACTAATGCCCATTGATGACGATAGTAGTCTGGATTTTTATGTCCGATTGAAAGCGAATGAATCCGACTACACGAACTTCCCGCTATGCGTGGTCGTCACAAATCCAATGGCTGGCCAGAACTCGTCCAACTACGTCAGTAGTGTCCATGACTTGGGCAACGAAACTAGTGTAACTCCTGTGAGGCGTACGGATATCGAGTATTATATAGATAAGGGAGATGAAACAATGAACTTCATGGATTTCGCACGAACAGTGGCTGCTGAAATGGTTGATTCGGTAACATGTACGGAAAATATACAGAATATATTCCCTTACAGCGAAATGGAATTGCTGGATGAGCCAAATGTGGAATCTAATATCGTTGTTGGTATTTTATTCAAAGATAAGTCTATGTTACAGAGATTTCTGACAATGCATGCCATAAGGAATCAATATCAATTTAAAGTTGAGAAGTCGTGCACAAAACAATATTACGTGAAATGCGTGTCTGATGAGTGCACGTGGTGTGTGAAAGCGTCGCGTGTTGCCCAATCGAGCACATTTAAGATAAGAGTTGTCGGGACTGATCATCGGTGTTCATTAGATGTTCGTATGAGTGGCCAGCGGCAAGCTACTTCAAATGTAGTTAGTAGTTTTATCAAGACGAAGTTCAGTAATACAAAAACTTCATATAATCCCGGTGATATCATCGACGATATGCAACATCGTTTCGGGATAAACTTGTCATACCACAAAGCGTGGCGTTCAAAGCGCAAGGCTGTGGATGAGGTTAGAGGCAATCCAAATGATTCATACGAATACGTACATCAATATCTCGAGAAGGTGCGTGTTTCGAACCCAGGAAGCATTTTGAAGTTGAGTACTACATCTGAACGGAATTTTCTATACGTTTTCATGTCTCTTAATGCATCAATAAAGGGGTGGAATCATTGTCGACCAATTATTGTTGTCGATGGCACTTTTCTAACATCGGCGTACGGAGGAATTTTGTTAACTGCATGTTGCCAGGATGCGAATTTTCACATTTTACCGCTTGCTTTTTGTGTTGTTGACTCGGAGAATAACCAGTCATATGCCTGGTTTTTTTCGAAGCTGAAACTAGTTGTTGGTGAAAGAGATGGGATGTGTATTGTCTCAGATGGACACGAGAGCATCAAACACGCTGCCGCTGCAGTAAGTGTATATGTTTAGAATATGTTTTGTATATTGTATGTATATATACACGTATTTTGGGTGATGTTACTGTTATACTTACCAATATTGTTGTTTGTCAATTGTATAGGTCTTTCCCAATGCGGCGCATTGTCTATGTACATATCACATATCAAATAAAATGAAGACGCGTTATAGGACTGAATCTCAGTTAGTAAAGGAAGCTTTTCACGCAGCAGCAAGAGCGTATACTGTGGAGGAATTTGAGAGGCATATGTCAGAGATAAAGAAGTTGAATCCAAGTGTTGTGACATATTTGGAAACGGTTGGCGTACACAAGTGGGCAAGAGCACACTGTCCTAGTAATAGGTACTTCACAATGACATCTAACGCTGCTGAATCAATAAATGCTGCGATGAGGTCCGTGCGTGATCTCCCGATAACAACACTTTTGGAAGGGCTTAGAGACATGCAACAAAGGTGGAATGTGGCGAATAGGTCTGAAGCCAAGTCCACATTTACTGCACTTGCCAAGAAGCCGCATGATATGTTGGAGAACAATTACAAATTAGCCTCCAGATTCTCTGTAAGACTTGCTCATCAGATAAATTCTGAACATGTCCAATATATATCTGGAATATAAACATATATTGTGTTTCATACGTGTGTGTTTGTGTATATGTGTATATTTTTTTATTATATTTTTATATACAGGTGCAGAAAGCCAGCGATAGTATATACAAGGTGTTGTCTTATGGTCAAGCCTTTATAGTGGATATAGTCGCCAAGACCTGCTCATGTCATCGATTTCAGATTGACGAAATCCCTTGTGCGCATGCGGTTCGTGTGATACAATCACTTCATCTGGATCCCGTTCCATTTAGCTCTGGACACTACTTAACATCGACTATGTTAAGTACATATGATGAACCAGTAATGCCAGTAGGAGGTGACCAATCCTTCGCATTGGAGGCACCGCCTACGTTGCGACAAGTAAATCCACCGGATGAAAGAGTTAGGCCCGGGCGACCACGTAAGCAACGACTGAAGTCGGGGTGGGAACATAGATCGAAAAATTGGTGCAGTAAATGTAACGAGAAGGGGCACAATGTGAAAGCATGTCGTAATCCAAGAAAATAATAAAAAATTATGGATTTTCCAATAGTTATTGATTTCGTTGATATTTTTTCAGATTATTGTGTGTGTCGTGTACTTTATAATCATGTAGTATAGTCGTACGCATTCAAATCGTATTCTTTTTTAATGCGTTTGTTTCAATTTATATAGATACCATACTATATATTCTTTTGGTTTTACTACTATATTTTTTTTTTAAAACAAACATATTTTTTTTTTATTTATGCTTGATGTATATAAACTACATACCTCTGTAAGACTAATTCAAAAACTTTTTTCTGTTTTCTCTGGCTTTCTTGACCTATATATAAAAGAAAAATATATATATATATATATATATATGTAGTATATATACACACGTATCAAGATTATCCAAAAATAGGTTTGTTTTTCGGATATATAGTGTATATTTTCATAATATATATCTGGATTGGTGTTAAGGATTCTATGAATGCTAAAAATTTTTTTTTGAAGTTTATATTTACTGTATAGTTGCAGTATATAATTTTTTTCGTTTTACCTTTTTTCACGTACATGTAGATATCCAGTATGTATAAATCTCATTTGTGTGCGCGTTTGTATGTAACAAAATCATACAGATGTAGGAAAAAATGAAAGAAGTTGCAAGTACTGATTAAGTAAAATGTGAAAGCATAAAATCTTTCAATAACATCACATGAATTAATTCATCCAAAAAGTCGATTAAGATTCAAAAGACACATAAACGATTGTCATAAAAACCAATATGACCTAAAACGCTAACATGTCCGAAAACCAAAAATCACATAAACGATTGTCATAAATCATCACAAAGAGTTCCAAAAGGACATCATCAGTCAGTAAACGATCACACGAGTCTAGAACGGACTTCATCGGGCAGTGTACCAGGAGATTCATCCTCACTCTCCAAATCCTGGTCTATCTTCATCCTACCATGCTTATACAGCAAAAATCCGAATCTTAGTCTCTCCATGGCGGCATCGAACTTTTTCTTAGTAATATCGACGTCTGATATGAAATGTGCGGCGAACGAGGCAACAAATATACCGCAGTCGCTGCATAACAAATAGAAAAAGACAGGGGACAATAAAGAAAACATGAATATATAAACATAAATAGTAGAGAGAACACACGCTTTTATATACATAACATGTACACACAATATTCATGTCTATAATCACTTGATAAAAACCTGTCCAGTTGCCGTGGGAGATCAGGAGCCATTTTTATCTTCAGAGGTGAGTTCACGTCAAAATTTAAGCGTCCATTGACGTCGTTGTTAAAATCAGTCCTCTTATCGAAGAAGTGTACCAGACGTAGGAAAATAGGAATAATCTCGGCATAAGCTTGAACACTATCTAGGGCGATCGTGTCAACATCATCGGACTTAATTGAATTATAAACCCACAACGTCATGTCAGCGAAAGAGAGTCTACCCAAAATCCAATGTCCAACTCCATTGATCTCAACATGCATTGGGAAGAGGACGTGGTCGACATCAAACCACGAGACTCCACATATAATCTTGTAGCCGTAAATGTAATCAATAATCATGTCATCAACGGTGCATACAGTCTGCTCGGGCGATTNATCATTTTAAATAAAAAAAAATGATTGTAATTCATATAAGAAATAAAGACACCGGAACACACTGAACCACTCACACTACTATCAAGGAAAAGGCCCGTCTCATGGATTGTGTAAAGCCAGTTCTTATCCGTCACGGAATGAACATTGAAATCAAGCGGAGGATTCAACTTCTTGTACTTCACTTTGTAGTAATTGAAACTGCACAAGTTGATGATACATATTAAGTTTTTTTCGAGTATGATGAAAAAAAAAAAAATCTGACATGTTAGCCAAAAAAAAGATATGGTAAAGATAGGGTTAATCTAAACTCTGAAAAAAGATATGGTTAATCTAAATAGTTATTGTTATCCACTTACCCATCACCCTCTTTTCGGCATCGCTGTAGCAATCCCTCGCCAATCCAATTATTATAACCCATTACGGTATTATCCATATTGGAAAGGTCCCAGAAATCACAATCAAAAGGGCAAGACTTTTGGAGAAGATTCTTCCTCGAGTCTCTTTCCTTTTTTTTTTTTCAAATTAATATCACAGGGAGGTTGGTTGCCGGTATCTCGGAAGACAACAATTGCGGTGCTAACTGGTTCAACATTTTCACTACTCTTTCCACCATCTACATTTCTTTGATCCGCACCTACTTCAGACTGATACAACATGTATGGAAAAAAGAACAATAAAAAATGTATTGCATTATTTAACTGTGCACACATATACTTGAAATACTAACATTTAAATTTCTGATAAAGTGGCTTACAGATTCGTGCAGTGCGGGAGGGGCGACATAGTTTGGTGGTGTAGGTGGCAGGTCGTGTGTGATTGCACTGAACGACGGTTGAGATCCATTGAGTGAAAAACCAAAAATTGGATGTGGTTCTCTTTTTGGGCCTCTCGAAGTTGATGCACGTGCCTGTAACATTAAAAACGGACAAATTCATATTCATTGCTATACAGTGTATAATATACATAATATATACATGAAAAAGACTAAAATAACTTTGCGGTACCTGATTCTTTTCTTTTAAGGCAAAGTTAATTTTTTCTGCAGTATCTACCTCAACTAGAAATTGAGTGTTGATTGGTGAAAAAGGGTCATCATCTTCCGCCGGGCTGATAATAGCGTGATCCCGGCTTTCTCCAATAGCCTAATTAAAGAAAACACATAGCAATTTGTTATATAATATAATAAAATTTACGATTTATGGTACAATGAATATCTTATTTGTTGTATATAAGTAAAATACTTTATCTTCTGCACGTGTTTGGAGAGCATCTGATTTCGTGCTAATAGCGGTAACAATAGTCTCCTGCCCGGACTTAACAACAGTCTCCTGCGCGAACTTTAAAACTTGTCATAAAAGATAAAAGTGGACCAAAACAGAAACAAACAAAAAAAAGAAGATATATCTTATATAATTAATATACTTTATCTTCTGCACGTTTTTGGAGAGTTACTGATGTCGTTCTAATAGCGGTAACAACATTCTCCTGCCCGGACTTAACAACAGTCTCCTGGCCGGACTTTCACACAAAAAAAAAAAGATAGACAAACTTGTCGTCATCATAATCATAAAGATAAAAGTAAACCAAAACAGAAAAAGAGTATAAAACTTATATAATTAAGATACTTTATCTTCTGCACGTTTCTGCAAAGCTTCTGATTTCGTTCTAAATGCGGTGACGACATTCTCGTGCCCAGACTACAAAAATTAAAAATAAAAATAAACATAAAAAAACAAGAGATATACCTGTCAGGTCAAATATATATACATATATATATATATATATCCAAACAATGTACAGGATATTGAATGCATGGATGACAAATATATATTTAAGATACTTTATCTTCTGCACGTTTCTGGAGAGCTTCTGATTTCGTTCTAAATGCGGTAACAACATTCTCGTGTCCAGACTACAAAAAGAATAAAAATAAATAAAATAAAAACAAGAGGGATGTCTGCAGGGGTATTAAAGAATTGTAAATATATATATATATATATTTTTTTATGTGTGATTAAATAACAAGGTGTTTAAGAAAAATTTTAATAAGTTACCTTATCGTTTATAAGCGATTAATGCACGTTCCCCTTGATAATATCCGTTTCCAATCCAAATGCATCAGTGGTGTCTTCAGTGTTTTTTCCATCATTTCTTGTAGAAATCTACATGTGAAAAAAGCAACTTCAAGCATATATCTTCTTGTTGATTACTCATGCATATGGACAGTATATTACATGTATATATACTGTGTATATATAGTATATTTATCAAATTGAGGTGAACTTAAAATAGCAGACCGTATATGTCTGGGATATATGATGTGTATATATATCTAATAGACCATATGATCCGGTGTATATGTTTGTGTTTATATTCTGTACATATATACGAAGCTACATTTTTATCCAAAAGGACATAAACAGACGCAGGCACATTCATAGAAAGAAGAGGTTGACAGATAATATATATAAAAATATATTACTAATTAATCGTCTAAATAATTTAAAAATTTATTATACTTACAATGAATGTATTCTTGAATAGCTCTAGATCAGCCATAACCCGCTTTGAAAAGTCATAGCACAACTGTTTCAAGTTCTCAACGTCAGATGAAATTGAATTCAGACGATCGATGATTTCCGAGTTACTGGTGGGCTGCGGCGTAGATGTCGTGTGTGTCTCGTCCCGATTGAATTCATTCTTCTTCTGGAAAAAGGTGACCAACAGCACCGATTGCTTCTCTTCCAATGTAGGTGCCACGTTCTTAAACTGTAATGAATAAATGAACGAAAGTAAGACAAAATGAATCAAAAGTCTTATGTATAATTAATGAATCTATTTGCAGCCCTTGACATCAAGTCTGGGGATAAAAATACCTTGCTGGAGTCCAAATTCGAAAAAGCCCTCTGTACATAAAGATGGTTGTAGGTGCCATGGACTTCCCACTTAAGCATTCTAGGGATTTCGTTATTTCCAATCAATGTGCATACCACGCCTTCGGCTTTGTTGCAGATTTCATAAACCATATTTGCAGAGCTAAGATAAACCCATAACATCTGTAATTGTAACCACCTCTCTTCCCTTCTTTGTGCGTGTGCTCTCGGTTTATCATTGATTTATTAAGGTAATGGAACGTAAATTCAAAGACATCAGTCCCCCAAGGATACTCGTCAAAAATAGAGCTATCGATAATGGCGAGATAGCATCTGTCAAACCGGTGCGCGTCCTGCGAACCCATGAGGAAGTTCGCAAGTAGATGTAACTTGGCAAACTTAACAGCGTCTGCATCGGATTTCCGTGATTTCCTCAAAACCTGCACTTCTATGCAACTACGGTTAAGTATCAGACCGGAGAAGTAATTGTCATATAGGCCTTCAGATACTTGTGCGATGTTCAGCTTCTTGCAAGTACCAGTGCATTTAAGACTGGTGATAAGGGCAAACTCTTCAATCCCAAACCAGAACAATTTTCCTCCAAAATCAAACCACATCCTGTCTGTCCTGGGTTGATAGACCTCTCGTAAGAGAATGTGATTAAGCAATTGGATCTGGATTTTTGAATGTGGAAGGTCCAAAAACTTTCCAAATGCCGAACCCCTTAAATTCTCCATCTGCCCGGGGGTAAGCATCCTCTTTATTTCATTTATGGTCGACCCAGGCTGGCTGTTATCGTTACTGGTCTGAATCTTCACATGTAATTTCCTCGGATTTGGTATGAGCAATTCCCAGTCCTGTCCGAAAAAAAAGGACATGTAAATTTTTACGCCCGAATTATGTACATGTCATATCCTTATTATATACACATATAGTACATTCCAAAAAAATGGTCGATAAATAATGTATATATATAGTTATATATAGAAAGGGCTACCAAGGACATATACAACATATAGTGCATGTATATAGCGTATGAGTTCACAAAATCATGATTGCACAAAATTATTGGAAATATAACAATAACATATACACAACACATACACCGCACTGCCAACACAAAAATAAATACTTAATCCCAAAAAAATTGACATGAAAATTTTTGCCCCCAGATTATGTACATGTCATATCCTTATTATATACACAAAACTGGTCACAATAAAAAATGATCGATAAAAAAATGTATATACAGCAAGGACTACCGGTAACATATACAACATATATTGAATATATATATACACACACACACACACACACACACACAC